TTGGTGTTCCTTGGCATCTTCCCAGAGTAAGATGCTCAGGGGCTGGAGCAGCTCCCTGTGAGGACGGGCTGAGAGAGCTGGGGCTGTTCAGGCTGGAGAAGAGAAGGGGAGACCTTAGAGGGGGACACCGGAGAGGTGGGGAGGGGTTTCTGGTCAGAGAATGAAGTGATAGGACAAGGGGTAATGGCTGAAAGAGGGCAGATTTAGATTAGAAGTTCTTCCCTGTGAGGGAGGTGAGACCCTGGCGCAGGTTGCCCAGAGCAGCTGTGGCAGGCCCTCCCCGGCAGTGGCCATGGACGGGGCTTGGAGCAACCTGGGCTGGTGGGAGCTGTCCCAGCCCAGGGCAGGGAGTTGGAACTGGATGATCTTCAAGGTCCCTTCCAAGCCAAACCATTCTGTGTTCCTCTGATGCTGTGAAGTTTGGGAGGTGTGGGCTGGAACAAGGGCTGGCAGCGCCCGTCCCCACACCAGCAGACTCCCCCCCCCCATAGCAGCACCCCAACATCCCCCACCTTGTGTGCCACCGGTGAGGTAACTGCAAGGTTTGCTTTTGCTTCTCGGGGCCATCCCTACTGTGTAATCCAGCCCGTTTGTCAGGTGAAACAGGAGAAGGAGCAAAAGGTCACCGTCTTGATTTACCGGGAGCCTTAAAGTTATTAACGCTTCTCAGCCTTGCCACTGGAAATTTTCTTTGCCCTCAGCTGCCTGTCACTGCGCTGCCAGACATGAAGGCCCGTGGTGTCAGGGCTAATGCAGGGCCAACGACAGATCACTGTGTAATCCAGCCCGTTTGTCAGGTGAAACAGGAGAAGGAGCAAAAGGTCACCGTCTTGATTTACCGGGAGCCTTAAAGTTATTAACGCTTCTCAGCCTTGCCACTGGAAATTTTCTTTGCCCTCAGCTGCCTGTCACTGCGCTGCCAGACATGAAGGCCCGTGGTGTCAGGGCTAATGCAGGGCCAACGACAGATCAAAGGAACCCGCATCGGGGCGAGTTTCCAAAACCGCCTTCAGAAAGGAGACGTTGCACCTCGCTGGCGTGCCAAAGCCCCGAACTTCTGCAGTTGCAACCATCTGGCAAAGGGCATGAACGCGTTGCAAGAGCTTCCAGTCTGATTTAGTTGAAGAAAAAGCCATGAGAAGGTTGGGGGAGGATGTATTCGGTGGTGATGATTTGTTTCCCCCCCTTCATTGCAGGTCTTTGATCCCTTTGTCCTTCCCTACTCACCTCCAGCGTTGTGGCTCGGTGCTGATGCCGCGGGCAGACCTTCCTCATGCTGGAGCTAAATAGAATTTAATTTCTCCTGGTGCTAGTAGAAATACCTCCGAGATGTAGATTTAGTCCCTCTTCCTTACTAACACACGCACAAAAAGGCCTAAATTGTTGGTATTTTGGTATATATATATTATTGTGTATATATTAGTATGTCAGTACCTGTAAGCAGTGCACGAAGTGATCACGGAGAAAACAGAGGAGGGTTGGGAAGGAGACCAAGCGATGAGGACTTGGGGTGATTTTCTTTTCGTAGAGCGTTTTTTAAAAAAAAATCTCTTTTAAAAAAAAATAAAATCTTCTTTTCAGCTCCACCGAAGTTGACGACATGATTAGAAAATCTACGAATCTGCTGCTGACCCGGACGCTGAGCAACTGTTTACAGAATGTCATCAAGAGGAAAAACGTCGGGCTGACAGAGGTAGGATGCGGCTCCCAGGAGGCTCCTTTCCAGGACGGGGGGTTTGGTCCCTTGAAGCTCCTTATGGCACCTTTAGAGACTCTGGTTTGGAATATTATAGTAAAATATGAGGTTGGAAAACAATAACGGAATGGCACAGCATTGCTGTAGAAATATCCTGCAGGAAGGAGGAAGCTTTTTTTGCTGTTGCTGTTAAGAGTTGCCCCGATTTTGAATTTGCAGAGCGTTCTATATCTGAATTAAAGTGGTGGGTAAGAGGACTTCAGGGAGTGTGGAGAAGAACCAGGTGGGAGCTAGGAGAGAGTGAGGGAGCTGTCCCCGTCTGTAGGTGATGTTCGAGATGAGTTCCGTGCATTTTCTTTTTGCGACTGATCATTTTTTGCGCCCAAAGTCAGATTTCTGAGAAGCTTAATGTATGGAAATCGTGGCTTTTGGGGGATGTGTGTGGTAGCCAGAGCAATTTGGGTACTTTAGTGGGTCCTCTTCGAGCTGTTTGTTAAATGAGTTGGTTAATCGATGGTACTGTCCAAATGTGTCCCGTTCTTCGGACGCTGTAAATACCCCACAGAGGTGACTTTTGGAGAATTTTAGTGCGTTTGCAATGCTATATACTCACACACCATGCTTCCTCAGCCCTTTATCTCAAAGTCTGCAATCTCTCTGCTCCCTGGAGGCAAATTCCTCATCCCTCCCGCTCCTCCTGAGGCTCCCTCCACAAAGAGGAATGCAACCCTATCCCTGCACATCCATCCCCCAGACGATCTGTTGCAAACGTTCCCACAGTGTGATCTGAAAGTAGGTAGGGAGGGGAAACCCTTGGCAGCAGTCGCCCTCAGCCAATTTTTCCCAGTTTAGACGCTGTTAAATGTTCCTTGGCATCTTCCACCTTGAGTTAAGGTGATGTTTCTTTGGACTGGGAGTGATTTTTGGTGCTGAAAGTGGAGGTTTGGGAGGAAAGCCTGTGTAGCAAACTCGCATTTCAAATAAAGGTGTAGTAGTATGTCCAGAGACTGCGGTTACCATCTTTTTTTTTTCTAATCAGCTTGAAGAAAAACTCCTTTGAGCATCTTCATCCCTTCCTGCCTCTTTTCTTTGTGTAACCATTGACCTGCTTGTCCCAAACAGAAGCACGCAGCCTTTTTCTTCCGAGTTTCTCAGATCCTCCCCTATTAAGAAAAGAAATTGATGTGACTATGTGGAGCACAGGAATTAAAAGGGCACATTGAAGAGTCCCAGACCCCATCCTGGGGTCGAAAGGGATTGCAAAAGATATTTAAGTACTTTTCATAGCTATCACTTCCCAGCTTTAATTTTTGCACAAAGCAACACTGTCCGCTTCTGGGCTCTCCAGTGTTATCTTCCTGGAAGTGCACAAGGCTGTTATCCTCTTTAATTTATTTTTCACTGCTGTTTCTTGGGGCTACCTCTCAGCAGTGGTTGTAAAAGTTTGTTAACCAAGTCTGCTCCAGGTAATCCCGGTGTTTCGAATAACCCTGACAGCCCTCAACGAAAGAGAAGGAGAAGATGCTACTACGTTTTTCATTTGGGTAGCCCAGCAAGAAGGTCTTACCCCAACGAGAAGGTCTTAGGCCAACGAGAAGGTCTTACCCCAGTGAGAAGGTCTTACCCCAATGAAAAGGTCTTAGGCCAACGAGAAGGTCTTACCCCAATGAGAAGGTCTTACCCCAACGAGAAGATCTTACCCCAATGAGAAGTTCTTACCCTAACGAGAAGATCTTACCCCTCCAAATTCAAGGGAATTGAAGGAGCCAGAAAGGGACCAGGAAGGTTCATATGAAGTGGTGGAAGAGAATCAAAGCAATCAGGGACTTCAAATTTGATCTGGACCAGTAAGTTGTGATGATCAGAGAAAAGTTTTAGGAGGAGTTTGCCACACTTGGAAATACCTAATATTTAATTAACTTGAAACTATAGGAAAATACGTCCTGATCATGAAGTCAGAGCTGTCTGGCACGGGGAAAGGCAAATGAACGCTTCCTTGAAGGCAAAAATTGAGAACAAAATTAATCCAAGGAATTCAGGAATGAGAAGCCCTCCTAGTTACCTGTCTGATAGATTTCACACACCAAACCAAGAGGAGTTCAAATAGAGCAGGACTTGATTTCTTAAAAACCAAAACCTGACTGAAATCAAAGAAGTGCTGGCTGGAAGGGGCCTCTGGAGGTATCTGGCCCAACCTCCCGCTAGAAATGGACTCAGTGCTCACTTGGATCATGTCAGCCTTTTTATTTTCTCCGAAACAGAGGTCCCACAGCTTCTCTGGGCACCTAGTTCCAGTTCCGCGCTACCTTCCTCATGACTCTTTTCTTCCCTAACATCCAAGCTGAACCTCCCAAATGGTGCCCGTTTCCCTTTCTGGTGTCATCTGGCACCAGGAAGAGTTGGGCACCATAATCTTTGTAGCATTGCTTCAGTATTTCGGTGCATGCACACTCCAATCGATGATTAATCCATCTCATTTGTGAGTGTTTCCAAATCATGTCTTTAGAGGAGGTGACTGCGAGCTGCCACACTATACTCTAGGAAATAAATTATATCAGTCTGGAGCGTTACGACGCCTTCAGTGTCCATCAGAGAACTTTTTTGTCTTGCTGTCTGAGCTTAGACATTTTTTGGGAAGTTTTTGTTGTAGCTCACGTTGCACCTTGAAAATATTCCGGGCAGGCGGCTCAGAAAGCAGGTGCCTGCTTTAGGAATTAGTGATGCTTCCAAGTTAGTGATCCTCAAACTGTAAGCTCGGGTTGTTTTACTCTGGATTGTAAAGGTTTGTGTCTCTTGACTTCAATGGAGGCTTTTGTGGTTGCCTTTAATGTCCTGAAATGCTGCTACGTGAAGGCAACTGAGAAGCCGGCATCAAGGAAATCGCAGATAATGGTGGGTATGATAAGCGGAGGGATACGGGGTGTGAGATCTGCTGTTCACCCACACCACCCACGGGAAAATACAACCTCGACGTTTCTAACATCAACGGCGAATGCGATGATGTTTGGCGTCGTTCCAGATCTGGGTTGTTTGGGGTTCATGAGCAGACAGAAGACTTGTGATTCGACATGATGGGTATTTTTTAGGTTTTTTTTTTTTGGTAAGCCCGTTGTATTTGAGCACTGGCTGACAGCTGCATGTAGGAAAGTCATTAAAAAGAAACAATCTTTTGTGGTATTAGTGGCTGTCACGGGAAATGCTTTTTTCCCCCCTTCCAAATTATCTTTTATTTAAATTACTGATGTTGTTGAAGGAGGAGTCTTTGAGTGTGTAGCAAAGCTTGGTGTGTTTGTACAGCACCAGCTTTTCATGCCAGAAGTTCTTATAAATCAGCGTCCGTTAACCTGGCCCGTCCCTGGCTTCGGCAGCACGATGCTTGAATCCCTTTTTTTCCCTTTGCAGCTTGTACAGATTATTATAAATACGACCCATTTGGAGAAATCCTGCAAGTTCCTAGAGGAGTTCATAACCAATATCACTAATGTACTTCCAGAAACTGTCCACACTACGAAACTCTACGGGACCACAACCTTCAAGGTGAGAGGAGGCTGGTAGATCCACCTCCGGGGAGTCGCGGTCGGTGTTTGGTCGGAGAATATCGGCTTTCGAAGCCCGTGTTGGGGGATGTGTGGCTGTAGGGAGCTAAGCTGAACTGAAAGGTAATTTTCGGCATGTCCCAGGAAGCTGACGCCATCAGACGAGCGTTTGGGTTTGTCCTTTGGAGCGTTACTTCTGTTGAGGTCGCGAGCCTTCGTAGCCCTAATTTACAGGCTGTGACTGCGGCACTTGTTATCTAAAGGATTAAGCAGCTTTTCAGTAAAAGCCTGATGATTATTTTTTTTTTAAATGAATTTTCATTCTGCTGTTTGAGAGCTGTACAATTTTACACACGTCTGGCCGCGAGCGCAAGCTCTCCTCTTTCACCCAAGAAGAGAGTAGATTTTCAGAACTTATATTTCTATATCTTTCCACTCCTTTTAGCATTATCCCATTAAAAAAACAGGACTGGCAGAAACTACTGGACTTCCCAGTCTTTAAATCTTTTAAGTCATAACCCAGAAGTGTCCAGCCAGATACTTTATATGAAATCTTAAGGCCATCACTGGGTCAGCTGCGGGGCGTCTGAATCGGGTCCTGTGGCTGGAGAGCAGGAGATGGAAACAGCAACTCCAGCGACAGGAGGGGATTGGTTTGAGGAGGTTTGCCCTTGGGATAACTCAGCAGGAGACTAAGGCCCCATATCCCCAGGGACATGCATTTGTAGTCTCTTCTGGCATCATCTATTTGGCCTAAGGGTGAGTTTTCCTACCCTTGTTCTGGCAGAGAGACTCTTCTGTGGCCTTCTTGCACCCCATACCTGCCCACAGTGTGGGTCTCAGCCTTCTTGCACGTGGAGCCTTCCTCTCCCATCTCCCTTGCTTTCACCCTGCAGTGGATTTGTCCTCCTGGTCCCCAGGTTACATCAGAGGCAGACACCAGCTTGATCTTGCCTAGCAGTGACCTGGTGGCACCCATCCCACCAGTCTGAGCTAACCTGAGGCTGGAGCACCCATAGAATCACAGAATCCTTCAGGTTGGAAAAGCCCCTTGGGATCATGGAGCCCAACCACTGACCCTGCTCTACAAAGCTCAGCCCTAACCCATCTCCCCCAACCCCACATCTCAACACCTTGAAACCCCTCCAGGGATGGGGACTCCACCACCTCCCTGGGCAGCCTGTGCCAAGCTCACACTGCTCTTGCTGGGAAAATTTGTTTCCTCATGTGCAGTGTGACCCTGCCCTGTTGCAGTTTGCAGCCGTTCCCTCTGGTTCTATCGCTCATTACCCGTGAGAAGGCCCCACCCTCTCCACCCCGTCCTGTCAGGCAGTTGCAGAGAGTGAGGAGGTCTCCCCTCAGCCTCCTCTTCTTCACACTCAACAGCCTCGGCTCCTTCCATCGCTCTCCATGAGATTTACTCTCCAGGCCTTTCCCCAGCTCCGTTGCCCTCCTCTGCACTCACTCCAGCCCCTCCATTTCTCTCTTGGGTTGAGGTGCCCAGAACTGGACCCAATACTCAAGATGTGGCCTCACCAGCACCGAGCACAGGGGGACAATCCCTGCTCCTGCTGGTCACACCATTTCTAACACTGACCAGGATGCCATTGGCCTTCTTGGCCACCTGGGCACACTGCCAGAACCATTAAGGTTGGGAAAGACCTCTAAGATCATCCAGTCCAACCAGGTAGTTGCCTGCAGGCTCTTTGTCTTGTGCTGCCATTAGGGCTGAAGGTTGGGTCAACCTCACGTTGCTTGTGGAGACTCGTGGTATGGAGACTCCATCCCACGTAACGTGGTCTTGTTTCCCAGGACGCCCGCCACGCTGCCGAGGAGGAGATTTACACTAACCTCAACCAGAAGATAGATCAGTTTGTGCAGCTGGCGGACTACGACTGGATGGCCATGGAGCCGGGCAGCAGGGCCAGCGACTACCTTGTGGATCTCATCGGCTTTCTCCGCAGCACGTTTGCTGTCTTCACCCACCTCCCGGTAAGCCACTCCGCCAACTCACTTTCTTTTTCGGTCTGGGGAGCACCTGACGGCGCTGTTGAAACCAGTTCATTGACCTTTCAATGGTAGAAATGGAGCTCTGGGCTGTCAGGTGTTTCGAAATAACAGACTTGTTTTTAAAGCAAGCTGTTTCACGAGACGTTGGGCTTCAGCGAGGGTCTCCCCGGGTATTTTTAAGCCCACTTGCATGTGAACGAGGGAAATACCACAGCCCACCCTGTAGAAACAGGGCCCTAAATCATTAGCTACCTATGTTCTGGTGTGCTAACTCACAGCTTAATGGACATTGGAGATTTTTTCCAAGAGATCCCGGTGTGAGGATGTCTGTTACTTGAACTGCAGATACATTTCCAAACGTTCGTCAAGTCGCTGGATGCCTTACGTCAAAATAATGCTCTGTTGGAAGGCAGCATATGTTTCTTTCCCTTCTCTGCTGTCGAAAACACGCCTGTGTTTATGCTGTTACTGCGATCAGAAAATATATTTCATGTTGTTCTTTGCAGTTGGCTGAGCAGCGCCTCGTTGAATAGGAAAAATAGAATCATCAGGGAGTTTCGGTTTTGCTCAAACAGCTTTTTTCTTTCCTTTAAATAAGATTTGTTCTGAGCTGTATGGGTATATACTTAAGAGTATCTTCAATCAGCAGGTATTCTGAAAATAGCAAATCCGCTGACCGCTCTATTTGTCCTAAAAGCAATTTTAAACCTTTCTCCCTTCCTGGGTTGTTACTTATGTGTTGCCCCTGGGTGCCCAGGACCATAGCACACGGGCACATACTGGGCATCTTTCATGAGCTCGGATAGAAACGGGTAGAGAAGACGAATAATATGCAGCGGCAGGTCCCTTCGCTTCATTCTGCTGGTTTCTGCCACGACGATTGTTCTACTGGGAGGACGTTCAAGCCCTCCAGAGCTGTTTTAGGAGGTGTTACAGCTCCCAAACGACGCAGCCTTCTGCGTGTCTTTGGCCTTCTGTATCGCAGCAGGAGGATTTGGTAGCAGGGTGGAAGTGAGGGCTCACTTGCCGTGGGTGGAGAAGCCACCTAAAGAGAAATGGAAGTGGTTTTCCCAGTTGTCTGTACCCGGAGGTGATGCTGAGGAGAAGGTGCGTGCTTGGCTCTGTTATCGCTGGAATAAAATACAACATAAAGTGCTGCTTCCTGAGCAGAAAGGTCAGAAGAACTTTCATCCATCTTCTTGTCCAGCTTCATTGCCAAGACATCACCTCCGTTGGCAGCCCTGAGCCGTGGGGCTGCTGAGCAGACGTGGGGTGGGTGCCCTGTGGAGTCAGGAGGTTCTTGGAGGTGGCTGGATTCCCCAACTGCTGGATTTCTCCTTAAAAAAGGAGATGTGGCTGCACGGGGGTGGTGTAGCACCTGGAGACTGCTTCCACAAATCATACTACAAGTCCCTACGCAAGTGAGTAATGGATTTTGACAGGGAGATGGGTCTCTGCACCAGAGCGTGAAGCGTGGCCAGCAGGAGAGATGAGGCTGGGGAGAGATGCCCACAATGATTTATGAGATGGACCTGGAGTGATTTATCTTCCTTAAATATTAATATTTCATTTTGGAGCGAGTCAAAATTGTTGGTGGAGACTGGGAGGACAGCTAATTGCTCTAAAAAAGCGACGAGACAGATCGAAGCAGCATTTCCTCTTCCTAAAGGACCCAGCTGAGGAGAAGACTGTTTGCATTTGCAGCCCAGCACCTTGTCTTCAAAGCATCCATGCTCTCAACAGCCTCGCGGAAGAGGGGAGGCAATCAATCAGATGCTGCTGTCTGATTTGTGAAGCTGTGCGTCTGCTTCGGTGGTTTGTAGAGAGACTCAGGTCTGGGATTTTTCCGTATCTATTGGAGTTGCTTCCTTTAGAGGAGTGGTATGAAGATGCCGTCGTTGAGCATTGCTGATGGATCCCACCACGTCCCCTTGCAGGGTGAGAGCAAGGGAGGAACATCTGAAAGGCACCCAGCTCCTTTGGTATCTCTGCTGGCTCGTTGTTGTAGGGTTCAAGGGCTTTTTTTCGGTGGCTTCTTTAGAAACACATTAAGGTTTCTGCACTTTGCTAAATGAAATGTAGGTGGGAAGGTGTGTAGAAGCCCACGTCTGTCTAAAGCAATGCAGGAAGATGGTGGAGATGTTTGTGAGAACACCAAAAAAAAAGGATTTTCATTTGTAAAAAGAGAGGGGTTTGAGGGGAAAAGGAACTATCTCCAGAAAGGCTGAATTTTATGTAAAAGAGAATGTTGCAGGATGCAGAGCTGTTTCTGCACTGAATCCAGTTGCACCAGGGGAGGTTCAGGCTGGATATTGGGAAGAATTTCTTTACTGTGAGGTTGTCAGCCACTGGAACAGGCTGCCCAGGGAGGGGGTTGAGTCACCATCCCTAGAGATGTGTAAGAGAAGGGTGGATGTTTCCTTGAAGGACATGGATTAGTGGTGTTGGTAGGGCTGGGACAAAGGCTGGACTTGATGATCTTGAAAGTCTCTCCCAAACAAAACTATTCTGTGGTTCTGTGATTAGTGCTGCAGCGATCTAAGAGGAGTCGCTGCCCTGTTTGAAATGAGTTTGCAGCCCGGTCCAGCTATAAAATACAGGATTTTCCACCCTGCTGGTGGCTCACGAAGGAAAACAGATAGCTGTGCACCATCCATGGAGAGGCATCCTTGGAGCATCTTCTCATTCATAGAAATCATAGAGTCGTGGAATAGTTTGGGTTGGAAGGAGTGTTAAAAATCATCAAGAGAAGTGTAACCAGCAGGTCAAGAGAGGTGATTCTCCCCCTTTACTCTGCTCTTGTGAGACTCCACCTTGAATACTGCGTCCAGTTCTGGTGTCCCCACCATAACAGGGATGTGGATCTGTTGGAGCGTGTTCAGAGGAGGCCACAAAGATGATCCAGGGGCTGGAGCAGCTCTGCTGCGAGGACAGGCTGCGGGAGCTGGGGTTGTTCAGTCTTGAAAGGAGAAGACTTCGGGGGGACCTAATAGCTGCCTTCCAGTACCTGAAGGGAACCTACAGGAAGGCTGAGGAAGAACTTTTTACAGGAGTGTCCAGCGATAGGACGAGGGGATAATGGGTTTAAATTGAAGGAGAATAGATTTAGATTGGACCTTAGGAAGAAATTCTTCAGTACGAGGGCGGCAAGACTTTGGCATAAATTGCCCAGAGACGTTGTGGCTGCCCCCTCCCTGGAGGTGTTCAAGGCCAGGCTGGACGGAGCCTTGAGTAGCCTGATCTAGTTGAGAGGCGTCCCTGCCCGTGACAGGGAGGTTGGATTAGATGATCTCTAAGGTCTCTTCCAGCCTAGGCCAGTCTAGGATTCTGTGATTCTGTGATCTTGTTCCAACCCCCTGCCCTGGGCAGGGCCCCCTCCCACCAGCCCAGGTTGCTCCAAGCCCCGTCCAACCTGGCCTTGGACACTGCCAGGGAGGGGATGCCCACGGACTCGGTGCAATGTCATCCCTTCCCGTTCTCACGTCCTTTTGCTGGTTTACAAAAGCCCCCGTTTTCCAGAGCTGATCATCTGATAACTTCGTGTTGAATTTACACAGTTTTAGGAAAGGGAAAAAAGGGTTCTCCTGGTGTTGGAAGTTTTTTAAAAGGAAACGTCAGTCTCGGGAGATGAGTAAGTGGCAGGAGCTGAGCCTTTTGTCACGACAGTAATTCCACCAAGAGCAACCTTCACCTGCTGATCAAAGAAACTCAGCCTGGGCATGTCGGCGGTAACCGCGCTAAAATTACGCCGACAAAAAGCGCTGTCCTCTAATAGAACGGAGCCGAAAGTCCTGAGCCTGCAAAAATGCAGGCGGCTCCTCAACGTGACGGCTGTGAGTAATCCCATTGTCTCGGACGGGGCCACTTGCCTGCAGGAAACCTCTCTGGGGTCAAGGCTCCGGCCGGCCGCGAGGCAGATCAAGTGGCCTTGAAGGGTCTCGTTGACTCAAGTCAACGTTTCGGAGAGGGGGAGTTGAAGAGGAGCAGAGGTGCTGAGCGAGCAAAAAGGCGACTCCAAGGCAAGGTTTGGGCATTAGGTTTTGTGTTTTTCTCTTTTAACATACCCGAGGCTGATTTTTTCCCTGTATTTACTGAGAAGGGTTGAGGTTGGAAGGGACCTCTGGAGGCCATAGATCGTCAAAAAGACCTTTAAAGGTCCAACCCCCCTGCAATGAGCAGGGACATCTCCCAGCTAGATCAGGTTGCTTAGAGCCTCGTCCAATGTGACCTTGAATTTTTTGTCCAGGGATGAGGCACCTACCACCTCTCTGAGCATCATCTGGTCCAATCTTGCTCAAGCAAGAACAAATAAACCCAGACCAAAGCTAGTCCTGCCTTGTGGAGTGGCAGAAGGAGCCTCCACTTACGATTGCAATCCCTCATTTTTCCTTTAGAGCATCAGAGTAGGAGATGATGGAAACTTCTTGATGATGCTATGAATCCCTGGAATTGATTTATTTTTTCCAGTGTGGCTTCGGGGCACCGAGCCCCCATCCCCGAAGGACACGTTGGTGGGTACCAGGAGGAAAAGTTCACGGTGAAGTTAAGGGGTTTTCGGTGCATACCGCTGCCGCGTGCCATTTTCATGGTGGTTTAGAGCCACAATTGGAAAATGCCTCGCTAAGTGCCCCAAAAATGTCTCAAAGCAAATAACCCGCTGGTGGAAATCAAAGCATAATTAACATTTGGCTTCAAGGCTGCCCTTTCCCTGCGTTAGCCAGGGAGAGAGTCGGTTACTACTGCTGCTCGACTTATTAACGTGGGATGCTCGGGCCTCCTTTAAAAGAAAACACTTTTTTGGGGGGAAAGGAAAAAAAAATCTTTAAAAAAAAAAAAAGTATTCTAGTTTAAAAAAAAAAAAAGTGGTTTCTGGTTTTCAGCGACTAAAGGGCCTCAAAAATTAACGTTTCCAGCGTCATACTTTTAAAAAGAATGACTGAAAAAGCCTTTTGTCCCTGATGGCTGATTGTTGTTTTTATTTCTTGTTGGACAAGTTAATGTAAATCGCATTGACAGGGCTACTCCAAACACACTGATTTGTTGACATTAAGCCGCTCGGAGATGGAGGGTTGTGTCAACACCTACGGTGAACTGTCAGGTTAACAAAGCAAGGATGTTTTCTTGGAGGAGGGGAGCGGGGTTGGGGGAAAAGGAGGGAGAAGGGGGGGTGTTTTGTTTTTATTTTAAGTTTCCTTTAATCCTCTGTTAGTCTTGTATCTCGATAACCTCCTTTGGAAGGTAATCGGGGCAGGTCAAGAGGTGATGCTGACCCGGCAAGGGGAAGCAATCTTTCAGCGATCGAACAAACTCCAACCTCTGCCGTCTTGAGCAGTTCAGCGTGAACTCTTTGCAAAAGGGCGTTTTGGTGGTTTGTTGGGGGTTTTTTTGTTTTTTTTTTCCCTTTTGTGCTTATTTTTGCCAGATGGCAGGCACGGATTTCAGCTGGAGCTGCACAAACACCTGCCTGCCACGTTTTTTGCCTCGTTCACCGTATCGGCATCAGTCGCAAAGAAATAACGCCAGCCCCGGCAGCTCTTGGTTTGCTGGAAAGAGCTTCCAAGTGTTTATTTTCTTTTTTAAAGAGAACGATTACCTATGTTTTTATTTAAAAAAAAATGCCAAAAGCCTCTGTAATATTTTAAAAGGCGAGGCGCTGTGGAAGTAAAATGCCTTGAACTTTGCACCAGCCGCAGCCTTGACCACGGCTGGGAGGGACCCAAGTGGAAAATAAATGTCATTAAAACATCGTCTGAGCACCGAAGGCACCTTCTTTAGATTGGCAAGAGTCCTGCCTGTGCTTAGATAACGTCCCCTTGCCTTTGGAAGAGCCGAGCGAGTTTTGCTTGAGCCGATCGCGCCGTCGCTCTCCGGGGTTTGCCCTCGGTCTCACAGGTGGGAGAGCTGGGGCACGGGCTTCATCGCGACCAAACCGCTCCTGTGGCGCTTGGATTTCCTCCTCATCCTCCTCAGGCTGGGTTCAGGGAACCCACATTTTGCTTTTTAAAGTCCCGTCGAGCAGCGGGCGCCTCAGTTGGCGCCTCGGTGGGGTGTAGGCGCCGTGGGGCGCTGAGCGATGAGTTCCTCTCTGCCTTTCTCGCTGTTGCTTTGCTGTCTTCTGCATTTGACTCTGAACTCCCTGTGTTGTCCTCTGTAGGGGGATGTAGATGTCCACTCTACAATGTCGGTGAGTACAAGACTGCGCCTCGCCCGCGTTTGCTCTGCTCTGCTTGCACCTCGAATGTTGGGAGGGCGAGTTGAACCAGAACAGGTCCTTCCTCTTGGAAAAGGAGGAGAGGGAAGGGCTGGCTAGAGGGTTCAATCAACAGGATAAACAAGAGACCAGGGAAAAGGGTTTCCTTCCAGCCAACTTGCTAAATTGTTAACGGGCTCCTTTTATCCCTCAAGCATCCCTAAAAGTGCAGGGAGTTAGGGGAAATTAGGAGAAAGCGTGATGGGATTTTCAACCTCTGCCTGAAAAAGATCTTTTTAAGCCACCTCTCCAGGCCCCCTCACTCCCTCTATTTTGTTCAGATGAGGGTTCAGCCTCAGGTTCCTCCTGGTCTAAGTGCTTTGGTCCACCAAGCCTTCCCTCCAGTTAGTGTGGGAGAATAGTCTTTTATCTAGAAAATAGTGTGAGTTCTTGACTTTTACTGTCTCCTTATTCAGATTAGGGCAATTAGCACAAAAAAAAAAAGCGAAGGGGACCTTTGGGACCAACCTTCTGGTTCAACGAACTCCTCTCTAATTGTTGTTATTCCTGCTTGTTCCTTGTGTGGGAGTTAAAAAAAAAAAAAAAAGCTGTGGCATTTCGGCGGATAGATCGCAAACAAAGTGCTCTCAGGCCACCTTGTTTCCTCTATTCCCACGCCTGCGAGCCAAGGCACGGGCGAGCAACGCGTGCCTCGTGGCTTTTTTTTTTTTATGTGTGTCGACGCGGTTGTGCGAGCCGCGGAGGCGTAGCCTCGACCCCCAGCT